TCCGCTCCTCCTCCTCACCCCTCATCTTCCTCCTCCTACTCCGCATCATCCTTCTTCAGATCCTCGTCCTCATCCTTATCCTCCTCCCCACTCTCTCCCGCTCCCGCACTCCTTCACCGCTCCTCCTCTCGGGTTCCCGCAAGAATTATCTCAGGCAAGAATGATATTTGGCGCGCAGCTTCAAGAGGAACGCGAGGAGGCCCCGTCCAAGCGCGCAGGCAAATGCTTGGGGGACCCTCGTGAGCCCCGCTCCAGGAAGGGCTGACTCTCACGCGTAGCCGATCCTCCTCCTCCTCCTCCTCCTCCTCCTCCTCCTGCTCCTGCTCCTGCTCCTGCTCCTGCTCCTGCTCCTCTCCTCCTCCTCCTCCTCCTCCTCCTCCTCCTCCTCCTCCTCCTCCTCCTCCTCCTCCTCCTCCTCCTCCTCCTCCTCCTCCTCTGACACTCGCCGATGTGATCATCAATCCGCGGCTCCAGAGGTCCCGACCGCTTCCCCGGGCTAGCTTTCCGTCCTGGATCCATGTTTGATTGTCCGAGGGCCCGATACTGGGCCCCAGAGGCCGCCATCGAAGAAACACACCCCGACCCAAAAAAACGCATCGTCGGAGACCTGCGTGCTCGGACCACGACTCTCGGCGGCCGCTCGTGACGATCCGGGCACCCCCGGTGAGCCCTCGGCGGGGCGCAGCCGCTGGCAAGCCTCCGAGGCTGGGACGCCGCCGAGAACCAGAGAGGATGCCCGAAAACCTCGGGCTCCGACCCGAGTCCGCGGTCTCTTCCCGGCCGAGGGCCGCTCGTGCAGGCAGGCCTCGGGCCGGACACTTCTGCCTCGCGCGCCGCGGCGGCGGCCGCGGCGACGCGCCATATATGCCTCGCGAGCGGATGGCGCGTCGCTCCGCCCCGCGGGGCCGGGGCGCGGACGGCGTGCCGCGCCGGCACGCGGCAGGCCAGATCCGACGGCGCGACACGCTAAGCCAGCGTTCCCGGCCGAAGGGGGGAAGGTTTTTTTTGCAATCCTTCGTTCAAGGGTTTTTTTTTGCAATCCTAGGTTTTTTTGCAATCCTTCGTTCAAGGGTTTTTTTTTGCAATCCTTCGTTCAAGGGGGGGGCGGCGGCGCGATCGCGCAGAGGCCGCCGAGGCCGCCGAGGCCGGGGCCCATCTCCTCGAGCCGCTCGCGCAGCGCTTGCGACCTGGCGGGAGGGGAAGAGGACGGCAGGACCCGGGAGGAGGAGGCATGGGCGGACCAGGTGACGGAGGAGGAGGAGTTCTGGAGTTCTGGATATCACGACCAGGTCGGGGTGCGGACGGAGGAGGAGGAGGAGGAGGAGGAGGAGGAGGAGGAGGAGGAGGAGGAGGAGGAGGAGGAGGAGGAGGAGCGAGGAGGAGGAGGAGGAGGAGGAACGAGGAGGATTGGATTGGACACTTCGGGGGGACAAGGCTGAGCCTTCCAGCAACGAAGGTTAGAGGGATACCCTGCACCGCTCCGCGGCACAGGGCCCTCCTCCAACCACCATGCCAGAAACCGCAACCTCCGAGCCGAGGGACGCCACGCGTGGTCTCAGCACAACGCCCAGGAGACGGCAAGCTCGAGGCCGTTGCCTCGACACGAACAGTAAGCTACACAAGCGACTGCTCCACATCATCATCGTCATCCACCTCTCGTCCTCCTGGCCTCCACCACCCAAATGCCTACGAGCGGAGGGGCGGATGGGGCGAAGGAGGGAGGAGAATATGGTCCGAAGGGGAAGGGAATAAGGGGAAAAACGCCTCAAAGGCGAAGCGCTGCCGCCTCACCTCGACCTTGCCCTTCCCCTCGCCCTTGCCCTTGCAATTGTTCAGCGCTGCCTGGCATTCCCTGCGCCGGGCCGCCCCGCCCTGGATGGCGAACCTGTGCAAGCGCGCGCAGGCGCGGCAGTCAACGACGACTCCGCCGTCAATCCAGTCCTTGCCTTTACCCTTGCCCTTGTAGTTGTCCTTGCCCTCGAGGGGGGGAAGGGACCACGGGTCGGCGCCAGCAGCCCATGGATCAGGGTGAGTACCGGCACGCACAGCCATATCACTGTTACTGTTCTTGCCCTTGCTCATGTCCGTATCGTCGTCCGTGCCTGTGACCTGCAAGGAACGAGAGGCCGGAATATCCGAATGAGCAGGAACTTCACACGCAGGAGCCCGAGGAGCAACTGGAGGGCCACTGTCGCCAGCACCATCAGGAGCGCCGCCCTCGGCGGCATGGTGTACCTCGGCGGGCGCAGCGGCATGCGGCCGCAGCGCGGCAGCCAGCGCCCCTGCGAGGCGCGAAGGCTGCACGCCGCGGTGCTCAGACAGGGCGTCCAAGGCGCGCAGCAAGTGCGCCGTGACCCGGGCCTCAGCGCGCAAATACTGCGCCCGCCTGGCCGCCGCCGACCGGTCGGGGCGGCGGCGCTTCAGCGCAGCGTCGGCATCAGGATGCCCCTCCATGGCACTGCTGGTGAGGGCGGGAGGCAGGGGCAGGGAGAGGGGGGGGGAGGGCGGCGCGGGAGGCGCCAATGGCGCGGGCTGGCAACCAGGCCCTGCCTGTGCCGAGCTGGCGCTTGGAGGAGGAGGAGGAGGAGGAGGAGGAGGAGGAGGAGGAGGAGGAGGAGGAGGAGGAGGAGGAGGAGGAGGAGGCAGAGGAGGAGCGAGGAGGAGCGAGGAGGAGGAGGAGGAGCGAGGAGGAGCGAGGAGGAGCGAGGAGGAGCGAGGAGGAGCGAGGAGGAGCGAGGAGGAGCGAGGAGCGAGGAGGAGCGAGGAGGGAAGGGTTCTGGCGACCAGGAAGGGAGGGGGGGCCAAGAAACTCACTCGTGCCCTTTTCGGCCTCCCGGGGGGCGCTTTCGGGCCCCGGGTGCGGATTGTGCGCGGACCCGTGGCGGATCGTGCGCGGGCCTGCCCGTGCCTCCCCGTGTCGACCGACGTCCTCGGGGCGCGGCCCGCTCCGACCCCCTGGCCGGAGGGGAGGGGAGCAGAGGAGAGGGAGGCAAGCTACAGTGAAAACGTATATTGAGGACGCGTGGTAAGGACGCAGGACCCTTGGAGGCTGAAGTTGGGATTTTTGTTGGGCGGCGGCGACCAGTGAAAACGGCAAAGGACGGGCCACAGAGGCAAGGACGCAAGGGCATCCTAGATGAAGGCGCGCGTCCTTACTAGGCGCGTTGACTGTAGGCGAGCTTGCGCCATACGGTGAGGGCATTGGATAAGGAACCCTCAGACAAGGAATCCAGGGTCTCGAAGCCGGTGGAACTCCGATCGTGGATTGGCCATGGACACCACCGCCGCCCTCATCAGATAAGGAACTCCCCAGGGCCTGAAGCCTCCTGGACACACTCCTTAACCAACGCACCCACCGTATCGGACATCCAACCCCTCCCACCCATCCCTGCCCATTGCGCCGACTTTTCTCGGTCTGCCGACGGGTGTCACAGCAACTCGCCGATTCCGAGATGAGGCCAAGGCTGCAACGGGAACACAAGTTTGAAGCACCAGAAACGATCGGATTGGAAGACGCCCGAAACAAATATAACTGGATGAAAACATGGTTGAACAACAAAACGCGAAGAGAGCGGAACATCTTCGGGAACGAGTGGGGGGTAGAGTACTTGCAGTAAGTAACTGTTGAAAACTTCTAGGGAGGGAGAGGGACGAGCGACGAGAGGGGAGGGCGAGGAGGGGGGCGGGTGCAGGAACAGGAGCGGAAGAAGAGGAGGGGAAGCGGAGGATGAGGGGGGAAAACCAGGGGCGGGGAGGAGCAGCAGGAGGACGAGCGGCACGATGACGACACGGAGCGGGCGCCACGTAGAGGAAGACGGGGCAGGGCGACGAGGGGCATCCGCAAGGGGGGGAATGGGAGGGGGAAGACGACGAGGAGGGAGAGGGCTCCGCACGAGGCACGAGCAGAGCGAGCCTGGGAGGATACGGCTAAGAAGCAACTCCCGGCGGTGGACAGACCTCCTTTTAGTAAACCTCCCCTTAGTGAAAACGGCCTGGGACCGAAACCGACGGACCTGGACCCGCAAAAACGACGGCCGCGACGCCCTCTCGCGAACCGAAAACGGCCAATTCGCTAATCGACGTGTCAGGGTAGGAGGTCTGTCCACCCCCGAAACTCCTGGGAGGTATTCGCAAGGACGGCGAAGGGCCATGAGGCCCGACCAAAAAGCCACTACGAAGCCGAAATAGGCCGGCTTAGCTCTAATACTAGGCCAGATCACGCGGGATTAGGCTTGATTGTGCTGGATTCTGCAGGTTTTCGACCGCGGATACGCCAGCGCCGATTCTGAATGTAACCTCACGGGAGTTGCACTCAAAGCATTGCTATCGCGAGAGTAGGTCGCCAGGTGGAGAGAAGGAGATGGAATACTAAGCACCGTCATAAGCAAAAGACATCGGAGGTGCGTACGGTGGACCACATTCCTTGGCGCGCGGAGCGCGCAAAGGACGGCGCTGGAGGCCTATCGAAGACATCCGCGCGGATCTCCGACAGCTTCTGCTCATGCCGCTCTTGCTTCGTCTCGGACCGGACGAAAAGGGGGGACAACAGAGGAGGGGTGTAGTGGATCAACTCACGTACGGCAGGTGCGTGTCGTGACGAGCTGGGCGTTGGTTCCTGACACCGCGGGGATCGTTCAACCTTGAACGACCGGCCGTTTCCGCAACGCCAGATCGTCCAGCATCGACCGATTCTGGGTCGCCGGCGGCGAACGCGGGCGGCGGGATCGCCGCCGGTCGAGACGACGCGAACCTTCCGTAGCTAGTCTTCCCGGCGCCTCCCGACGCCGATGGCGCCCATGCGTTGAGGACAGTGCCCCGCGGCGGGGGGGAATCCAGCTGCATGCAGCAGTTCTCGTACTGCCCCCCCCCCCTCCCCCCTTTCCCGACCCCCCCTTGTCCAACCCGATGGTCGGAGAGGGGGAGGAGGAGCGCGACAGGTAGGAGCGGGACGGGGATGGGCACCTGAGCCTGAGGCTGCGCCTGCGGCGCCCGGGGGCCTCTCAGTACGCGGTCGCCTTTGACTGCGCGAGGTAGTCTGACCACTCCTGGCCAGCGCCGAGCTGATCCCTACCCCCAAGATTGGCAAGTCCAAGACGATCACAATCTCAGGGATGTGTGTTCAGAAACTGCAGACATCCCTGAGATCGGCGGTGAGATGAAGAGGCGCCAACCGTGGGGATAGGGACGTGATTCGGACTGGCAAGCTCCTGGAACGGCGGCTTGATGAAGTGCGTCGGCTTCCACAGGTCTGGCGTCAGGTAGCCGAAGGTGCACTTGAGAGCGTCGAAGGTGGCCTTGATGAAGTTCCCCTTCGTCCTGGTGTGGCCGCACGAGCACGTGAAGCAGTCCTGGATGCCGCAGAACGCGAGCATCTTCTTCATCACCGGCGACCCCACGACCGAGGACCCCCGCGGCGCGGGCACCAGGCGCACGCGCACGCTGCCGCACTTGCCCGCCACCTTCATGGGCACGGTGTGCGGCAGGCCGATCTTGTTGCCCCAGTACCCGCGGCGCACGGGGATGAGGCTGAGCTTCGCCGCGATGATGCCGCCGCGGATGGCCGTGGCCACCTCCTTGGAGCACTTCGAGCCCAGCCCGATGTGGCCGTTGTTGTCGCCGACCAGCACGTAGCAGACGAAACGGTTGGTCTGACCGGCGGAGCTCATCTTCTGCACCGGGTGGATCTTCATCACCTCGTCCTTGAGCGTGCCCGGCGCGAAGAACTGGTCGATGATCTGGTACTCCTTGATCGGCAGGGAGTGCAAGTAGATGTCCTCGATGGAGGTGATCTTCCCCTCCTTCACGAGCCGGCCGAGCTTGGTGCACGGCACCCACTCCTTCTCCTCGGCGCCCTTCTTGCCCTTCTTGCCCCCCTTCTTGCCCTTCTTGCCCTTGCCGTCGTTCTTGCCCTTGCCAAAGCCGCCCTCGCCCATGGCCGCGACTGATATGGCCACTTCCGGCCGCCTGGCTCAAAACGCCTGGGCCGCAGCAGGTGCGCAGGGTGGAGAGGCCGGAGCGGGGCGAGGGGCAGGAGAGACGGCGGGGGCACGGGGAGGCGGACCAGGAGGAGCGGGTGGAGAGGAGGAGGAGAAGACCAGACAGGAGCAGGGCCGAGACCATGAGCAAGAGTGTGAGGATGAGCATGGGGTCAGGAGGAGAAGGAGGAGGAGGAGGAGGATCAGAATGAGCAGGAGAGCCAGGGGAGGAGGACGAGGGCGGGGGCGAACCGAGTGCGACTCCAAAAGGAGTCTTCTTCTTCTCCTTCTCCTTCTGCTCGTTTGCTCGTTTGCCCGGCGGCGAGGCGCGCGGCACCCCCGCGGCCAGAGCGGGCGAGGAAGACGAGGGGCAAAGGAAGGCGAGAAGAGCAGCAGAGCCCGCCCGCGCCCAGACCGTGCAAGATGGCGAGGGGGCTCTGTTCCTCCTCCTGCTCCTCCTCCTCCTCCTCCTCCTTCTGCGACGGTTGCTCCTCCCGCGCGCCGTGGCGCGCCCGTCCTTCGCGTACTCCGCTCCTTTCTCCTCCTCCTTCCTCCTACTTCTCATCTTCACTGCTTTCCTCCTCCCCCTCCTCCTCCTCCTCCTCCTCCTCCTCCTTCTCGCAATGTTCCCCCTCCTGTTCCTCCGGCCTGATCCCTCCTTCTCTCTCCGACTCCACTTCGTCCCTTCTCTGTTCTCCCCCTCCTTCTCCTCATCCTTCCTCCTCTCTACATCTCTGTTCCCTGAAATGCACTTCTCCTCGCCGCACCACCAGACGTTTCGAAAGAGCGGGCCGGACGTTGCGCCTGAGACCTCTTCCCAATGTGTGATCCTGAAGCTTGAAGCTTGACCGCTCCCACACGGAAAGAAGTCGTGTAGCGTTCAAGATATGGCTATCGCGTCATGGCGCGGCGCTCATTCGTCTTCGCAACAGCTACACGGATGAGCGCTGGCACTTATTCTCCAGGAGCGTTACTACTGTCGCAACGCCGCGTAAGTGCGCCTTACACATCTCCCAAGATTACACAGGTGGAACCCGCCTCCCTTGCATCCGCTCCCGCCGGAACTTTTTCACACGTGTGCAGAAACTTGAAGGTGCCGATTTTTCACACTAACGGACCGCAGCTCCTCTTTATCATGGCGGCTTTGATTGACACAAACGTTTAAGCTACTTCAACAAGACCGACAGCTTCTGCAACACCTGCGCGGGTGCAGGGCTGTCACTTTTCAAACCGCGCCCCCCGCGGGACGCACGCCACGACCTGTCTGGCCCTGCTTGTGGGCACGTGTTACAACTCAACGGATGCAGGACGGCTCCTTCTCAAACAACACACTTTGCCTGAATTGCATGCCCAGGGACGTGCGTCATTCAATGGGGCGGTCCCCGCAGTGCACGGATTTGCTTGTAACGAGCTGTGGGTCTTGGGATGGAGGAGGCTCGGCACGGCAGACTTCGGTGCAGCACTGTGGACGCATCCTGGCTTTCATCCGGCGCTCCTCACGCTTCATTCCTCGCACGGTGTTGGAGTTCTAGCGAACCTTGTGGCGAGAGGCAGTGGATGATCAGGTTGTCAAATGCTTCTCCGAGAATCTGGCCTCCTGTTGCTGCTTGCTTGCAGGAGAGGGGGGGGGAGGTGGGGGGCGACATGAGAAAGGGGGCACGCCTCATGTAGTTCACCCAATAGGCACATGCCTGCTCCTGCGCCTCCCCCTCCCTCTCCTCCTCCTCCTCCTCCTCCTCCTCCTCCTCCTCCTCCTCCTCTCCTCCTCCTCCTCCTCCTCCTCCTCCTCCTCCTCCTCCTCCTCCTCCTCCTCCTCCTCCTCCTCCATCCTTCTCCATCCTCCTCCATCCTCCTCCTCGTCCTACTCCCTCCCGCCCTTATCCTCCACCCCTCCTCCTCCGTCCTCTCCTCCTCCTCGTCGTCCTCATCCCATTCTGGCACCCGGCTCCTCTCCCTCCTGGTTCGTGTTCATCCGCTTCCGCCTCCTCCTTGCCCTCCTCCTTCCTCTCATCCTCCTCATCCTCCCTTCCCCATCCACCCCTTGTCTCCCGCTTCCCCCCACCTCGTCCTCCTCCTCCTCCTCCTCCTCCTCGTCCTCCTCCTCCTCTTCCTCCTCCTCCTGCTCCTCCACCTCCTCCTCCTCCTCCTCCTTCTCCTCCTCCTCCTCCTCCTTACCCTCTTTCTCTTCGCTGCCCGCTGCCAACCTGATGCAACCTCTCCCCCTCGTTCTCCTCCTTTTCATCATGCTTGTGTTCCTCTTCCGCATCTCCCTCCCCGTGCGGTGTTGGATTCCTCGCGAGCGAAAGTTGGCCAGATTCCCAAAGCCTTCAATGATAAGACGTACGTAGGCATCCTACGTAATTGGAGAAGGGGCCTGCCACAGATGGTCATCACCATCACGGTCCTCACGCTTCACGCCCAAACTCCTCCTCCTCCTCCTCCACCTGCCCATTCCTCCCCATTCCTCCCTCCTCCTCCCCCTCCCCCTCCTTTTTATACCCTTCCCCCTCCTATTCGCATCCTCCGGTTCCTCCTTCTTTCTCCTCCCCCATGGTGCCGATGCTGAACCTCAACCGATGAAGTCACCGAGAGCCTTCTAGCCGCGCGGAATGCTTAGCCACTTGGTCGTTGAAACAATCCGATGGGGTGCGCATGCACGCGTCTTTTGGAGCCCATGCCTCCTAATCCCCGCCTCCTCGACCAAGCCTGACGCAAACATACTAAGCACCACCTTCGGGGAGGAGGCCAAACGCCAACCCTCGAGAGCCCCTGAAGCTAGGAGCCGCCGCGCCGACGGTGCCTGGGAGGAAGAAAACCCAAAAAGAGAGGGGGAGAGAGAGGAAAGGGGCGCCCGTCCTCCCTCCTCTTGCTCCTCCTCCTCCTCCTCCTCCTCCTCCTCCTTCTCGCCCTCCTCCTCCTCCTCCTCCTCCTGCAACTGCCGCGACCCCAGCACCCGTCCACCTTTAGGACGGGTGTCCACTGGCGTCAGGCGTGTGAGGATAGTCCATGCGCGCCAGGCCGAGCAAATTAACCATCGCTCATCCTCGCTCCTCCTCCTCCTCCTCCTCCTCCTCCTCCTCCTCCTCGTCCTCCTCCTCCTCCTCCTCCTCTCCTCCTCCTCCTCCTCTTCCTTCTCTTCCTTCTCTTCCTCCTCCTACTCCTCCTCTTCCTCCTTCGGGGGGCCTGCCAGCGAAGTTGGCGAGGAACACCACGGGCTTGCCCGCCTCCGCCAGCGCCAGTGGCCGCACCGGCGCCGCCCGGGCCGCGGCGAGGCGAGAGGACACGAGCGCAACATCAGAACGGCAACTGCAGTCGGAGACCGAAGGGATAGGCTCCAACATGAACTTTCGGAAGTCCGCGCGGATTTCTTGGATCCGCGCCGGACCCCCCTCCCTGGCGCGCGAAGCGCGCCAGCGGCGGCGCCGGAGGCGCCGCCAGGGGGTTCCAGGCGCAGATCCAAGAAATCCGCGCGGAGCTCCGACAGCTTATTGTCATGCCGATGTTCTGACTTCGACTTCCACCGCGGCGCACACACCAGCTATCCTTGGAACGAACGAACAACACACACCCATACCCATGAGGAGGACGAACGGGGCTATGGGTGCGCGTTTTCGAGCGGGGCCCCCGTTCGAACGGGAGCCTCCCCCGGGGTCCGGCAACCCGCACCCATACCCCTGGCCAGTCCCCCTTCCTCCGACCCGCCTATGGGCACGGGTGTGTGTGTGTGTGTGTGCGTGTGTGGGTGTGTGTTGTTCGTTCGTCGGGGATCTTCTGACCCGGGTCAATCCAGACCCGGGTTAGCGGGAAACCCAAAAACTGCAATGCAAGAAAAAAAACTGCAACGCAGGTCTTCGCAAACCCGGATTAGCCAGTATGCGCGGCCGCCTCGCGGCCACGAGCGGCTCGCTAACCTAGGTCAGCCAGAGGGGGTCTTCGCAGGATCCTGCAGGATCCGGTGCCCTAGCTGACCCCCGTTTGCATTGACCCCCGTCTCAAGGCTCCCGAGTTCGTCGCCTTGATCAGTTGTCGGCATTCTGTAGCAACAAGCGGTCGGGCACGCGCCCAAACACACACACACAAACACACACACACACACACACACACACGCACGCAAAGGGCGGGAGGCGGCAACAGAAGGGAGCAGCGCCGGCCCCAGGGGGAGGAGGAGCAGCAGCAGCACAAGGCAAGGAGCAGGAGCAGGAGGAGGAGTGCGGTAGTAGTAGGCGCCATGGAGGACTGGCGGCGTTGCCAGTCTCCATGACAACAGGGAGCCCACGCACAGGGCAGCATGTGGCAAGAGGACTGGGCCGCCCTCAAACTCAAAGCGGAAGGGGAATATCAGAAGGGGTGAGAAGCGGAAGGAGGAGGAAGGGAGAGGATGGCAGAGAAAGTGAGAGGAGGGGGGGCAAAGAAACGAAGGAGAGAGGAGGATGACGGGAAGAGAAGGAGGAGGAGGAGAAGGAAGAGAGGGAGGAGGAGGAAAGGGAGGGGATGGAGGAGCAGGACGGAAGGGAGGGCGAGGAGGATGAGGCGAAGAAGGAAGGGGGCTGGATGGGAATGAAGAGAAAGAAACGGAGCAGGTGAATCAGAAATATCAGCAGCAGCAACAGCAGCAGCAGCAGCGGCAACAGCATCGTAAGCAAACACAGAAGGATGAGCATGAGGAGTGGGATGAGGAGGCAGGGGGGATGGGAAGGGATGAGTGAGGAGTGAGGAGTGAGGAGGAGAAGGAGAAGGAGGAGGAAGAGGAGGAGGAGGAGGACAAGGAGAAGGAAATCAACAACCCTTTCCCGCCCAACCCTATTCCACTTGGGCTCTTGCCGAACTTATTACACGTTGCATTGTACTGTGCCAGCGGTAACGACTCGGAGACGCAGCAGGTCTGGAATACCCCCGCCCAATGATGAGAAACTACTGTCTGCGCGGGCTTACTGACGGATTGGGACCCCCACATTACTGGGACAATCACACTGCTGAGAAATTCGCTAGCGCAACGGGCCAGAGGCGCCCTAAGATCCCTGGTAACAAGTTAGAACAGTATTCTAGTTCGCGAGCGCGTGGCGGCCCCTACAGGGGGCAGTTTTTAGTACATAGGATTGTTTAACTATTGGGTTGAATGCAAGATGAATGTATGAATCAACTTATGCATGAACTCATCGATGTTTTGAATACAAATTCCCTGCACTTGTGATACATTATCCGCACGCGGAGCATGTATTAAAAACGGCACTGTAGGGGTTCCTGAGCGAAGAGCACCCCGGGAAAATCCACGCACGACGGCACAAGAGGCCTCCAAATCGGCTCCAGGAGAGGGCCGAGATTGCTTACCCGAGCGGACATCTCCAGCTTTCTGCCCCAAGAGGCCCCCCAAAGGCCCCCCCAAGAGGCCCCCCAAGTGGCCCCCTAAAGCCCCCCAGGAAGCCCCGAGAGACTCCCAAGAGGCCCCAAACTGCCATCACGAGGCCCCTCCGGAAACCCCGACGAGCCTGCCAAAAACGATGGAACAGACAACACCGCAGGAGTCTGCGACGAACCCCCGAAACTAACTCCACAATCACTGCGCCACTTCCAACGCACCCCGCGTACCCCCTCAGGACAACAACTCCCGCCCAGCCGCACCGCATTGACGACGATCACTCGGGCAATCGACAGTGGTACGTCGACGCCTCCTCCTCCTCCTCCTCCTCCTCCTCCTCCTCCTCCTCCTCCTCCTCCTCTTGATTATGTTTGTACGCACAGGCCGAGCCGGAGACCCCCGTTGCGTGGGAGGACGAGGGGGAGAACGAGGAGGGGAAGGATGAGTTCTACACCCAGCCGAGAGCTGAGGGGGGGCTTTAACATGAAAGACCTCCTGCTGTTGTGTGGAGAGAACGAAGTGGCCTAAATGGGAAGTCGGATTCCTCGTCGTCATGAGGGCATGATCCTAGTCGTCATGACCCTCGTCGTCATTCCAAGATCCGCATGATCCTCGTCGTCATGAGGGCATGGTCCTGCTCCTCGTCATCCCATGCTCACCGCTGCCTCCCGACGGAGCCCTTCGGACGCGCCTCGTGGATCTTCTGCAGGCACTCCCTCGCACCCGGCAGCAATGCAGACCTGGTCGGCCGCGGAAGCCACAGGCAGCGAGCCGAGGGAGGAGAGGGAGAGGAGGGTGATGCAGAGGGGGAGGATGAGGAGGAGGAGGAGGAGGAGGAGGAGGAGGAGGAGGAGGGGAGGGGGGGAGGAGGAGGAGGAGGAGGAGGAGGAGGAGGAGGAGGAGGAGGGAGGGGAGGAGGAGAAGGAGGGGGAGGAGGAGGAGGATCAAGGACAGCGAGAGAGAGTGCGGGGCGCGGGTGCCAACAGCCCCGCCTGCAAAGCTGCGAATGTATGTCTCGGGGGCTCCTGCTCCTCATGCTGCCTCCCGTTTCCCATCTCTTTTGCCCCCATTTCCTCCCTCCTCCTCCTCCTCCTTCCGCCTCCCCTTTCCCTCCTCCCCAACCTTTCCTCGTCCACACCGTTGTATTCCATATTCGTTCCGTCTCCCTCTTCCTCTCCGCCCATTCTTTCTTTGTGCTCTCCTCCTTCCCCTTACTCTCCTCCTCTCCCTCGCCTCCCTCATCCACCACCTCTTCCGCCACCTCCTCCTCCTCCTCCTCCTCATCCTCCTCCTCCTCCTCCCCATTGAAGGTGATGATGTGCGTGGGGAATTTGCTCGTCTGGACTTTCGACGGGTTCGCGGAGATGCTAAAACGCATGAGGTACCGCCACCAGCGCAGGAGGGGTAGGAGGATGAAAGGCAAAGACGAAGGGCCGACGGGGACCACCAGGAAGACCCCTCGGAGGAGGCGACGGAGCTCACCCATCCATAGAGGTGCACGGTGGTGGAGGAGGGGGTCGCTTGTGGCAATATCTTTTCGACTCGGACAAGATTCATGGAACATCTACGACACCAGTATAACATCTGGAACCTTAGCCATGTGCTGACGAAAACCAACGAGTGCATTGTTTGTCAACGTGTTCTCAAGTCCCAGACGACTGCGTCCAGGCACCTTCGGGGTCTATACTTCGTGGATGTTGTGGTTCCTGGAAAGCGAGATCTGTTATGCATCGAGTGGAACCCCACACTTGTTTGTTGCCAATTGTGCGGGTACGCCAATCGAGATTTGGATGGTCTCCGTAATCATTCGGTGGCTCGTTTGCCTTTCCAGGTGGCTGCAAGCCCGCCGTGCTTGAGCAATTCTGCACGTGGGAGTCGCAAAGGACGACGCGGCCATGCCGGCCCGGATGCAGAGACCAGCGGAAGGGGTGCCAAGATTGGCGGCGAAGGCCGGCCGAGCCGGAGACGCCGCAGCGGGTGGCAGAGGCAAGGGCGCCGAGAGGGAGCAAGAGGACGAGCGCACATCTGCGCGCTCCTGCTGGCCCTCGCCGAGCTCGTCCTCACAGGAGCGCGGCAGGTGGCGCCTCCAGAAAGCGCAGCACACGAGACCGAGGTCGTGCCAGAGGGGGAGGGCTCGCTGGGCGAGATTGGCGTCAAGGCGGGCGCGGAGCAGGACGCAGGCTCGAAGCTGCTCGAGGCGCTCGAGCTCAAGGGGTCGGGCGGTGGACTTCGAGTCGAGGGGGCCCCCATACGTGACAGTGTCCATCCCTGGCCATCGCTCGGACGTCCATTTCCTGTGTTTTTTTCGGTTTCGTGCGTGGTTTTTGACGCCAAATGATCAAGGATGCTCCTCGATGGTCCTCGCCGGAGGAAAAATGCACACGTCCGAGCGATGCCAAGATCCGCGTGCTCAGGATGGTGATGAACGGTTGCCAGGAGCACGGAGCTCACAGGGGAGGCGCCACATGCTCGTCCGCGAGTGCTGGCGCGGATCCTCAGGCGCCGGCCCAGCGAGATCGCGGTGGACGCCTTGCACTTCGGGTGCCGCGGAGCGGGCAGGCGCCAGGAGAGGGGCGTGCCCTCGCTGGCCGTGCCGATGCGCGGCCCGCGGGCGGCCCAGGCGTGGCAGGCGGCCCTCGCGCACTTCCAGCAGCATGTTTCTCGATCGAGAGGGCCACGGGCGGCCCGCCCCGCGGGGGCCACCGGAGCGCGAGGTGTCGAGGCTGCTGAACGAGCTCACAGACGTGAGGGAGGCAGCGTGGGATGGATGCAGAACAGTAGCCCACTCGCTGAGCTCGTGAGTGGAGGAGTGGTGCCCGCCTCGGATCTCCGGCCCCCTTCCCTTGCCTCATATGCCGCCTCATCTCTGCCTGCTGTCCCCGTTGCTCATGCCCCTCCCCCTCCGCCAAAAGGCAGGGGTAAGAGGAATACTCCAGGTCGCTACAGACGACCGGGAGGCTAAAACGCAGCGCTTGGGGACCAGCTCGACGCAACCGGCGCGGGCCTGCCGCCGCCGCAAGGCTCCTACAGCACAAGCCGACGGGGTGCCGGCCGAGGACGCGGTCGAGGCCGTCTGACTGGGGCGAGGGGTTCGGCGGGCGGGACGGGGGGCGATGGGCGGAGAGGAAGGACGTAAGCCGCTGGTCCATGGAGGTACCCGCCAGGGGGCTGCGCGCCTGGTGTGCGGATCGTTTCCGCAGGGGGCAGCGCGGGCTGGTCCCGAGTGGCTGCGGTCGCGTAGGACAGCTCCAGGTTCACACACTGTCGCAATGCGACGCCCAGAAGTGTTCGCCGCGAGGCCCTCAGTGTGAGTTGACCGCTTCCCAGGGCCAACTGAAGTGAAATGAACTCCCCCTCTTCTCCTCCTTGTTCTCATCCTTCACCTTGGCACTCGTCCGCAGTGAACCATTTCATCAGAATAGTATGTAATAGTAGCAGCCCATACACTGAGGTACTGGCTGAGGGAATCGCAAAGTCTTCCCTGCTGCATTATAACTGAGAAAGTATTGTTGCCTTCCGTGCCCACTCGGCGACGAAAGGTTCAACAATAGCATATGAGTGAGGAAATACCAGTATGTGAACTGATGTCCCGCTCCGCGTACAACATATCATATGAGAACTCAACCTTGATGTTGCTCATGTTTATTTGATTCCAAGAGAAAAAACTGCCATTGGCTGCCTCCTCACCTGATAATCCATATGAAGATGCCCTCTCATGCAATGCAAGGGGCCAGTATACAGTGGACGTACGAAAATATTTGAGCCCACCATGTCACCATAATCAATAATCACAGCGCTGACCGAGGGGGAGCACGCTCCGTCGCGATTAAGGCATCGTGGCCACCAGTAATGGCCCTACGGGTCCTCCCCCTCGGCGATAGATAAAAAATACATCCAGCATACCAGATGCATCCAGCAAAACCAGACTCACCGCCACCCCTACGCGCTGTTGTCCTGCGAGCGACCTGAGTCCAACAGGCAGGTGCACCAGAGGGGTGGACAGTGGCTGTGCGACTAAACCAGGTGATTAGCCTGGATTTTGCGTCCTAACGCCCTCCACAAAGAGCGGCAGTAAATTGCTGAAATCTTCTTGTCGGTGCTGTGGAGCCACACAGAGTACAAACCAATTCCTTGTCCTTTTGGTCAGCTCGATAATGTGTGAGAACGTGACAACGGTTACCTGGAATCTTGGTCCTCTTGTTATGCTCATCTACCATGATTACGTAGTCAGCAGCGGTGCGCTTTTTGCCAAGACGTGGGCCACGTGGAGCTCCAGGTTGACAAAGAAGGCGCGACCATGAGCCTAGCTGGCTCACTTTTGACTCGAGCTTGCAATTGATGCACACCAGTTTGGCAGGTTGATCCTTGTTCGGCCCCTTGAGAGGGGCAAGCACATGATATCCCTGTTGGCGTGCCTCTCGGTTGTGCAGAAGTCTTTTCTGCTCGTTCTGAAGATCTCGGCCTGTGAGGCCCTCCCAATCTTTCTTCTCTTCGTCCGTCCAAGTGATGGTAGCTCGCATGACCTTGACAGAAGTGACATGATGAGCCCGTCGCACCACAGAGACATGTTCAGCTGCAGCAGCGGCCCTTGCAACAATATCGCTTGGCCTCACCGTAGTTGAAAGGTTCTCGGCTAGCTTCGGTGGTTGCCATATGGGCTTGGGTACTGAACCCCAAGCTGGCTGCACTCGAATGCCTTTTGTCTTCTCCGTCGTCGCCAGAGCCACAGCATACAGTACTCGCATCGTGTGTTGGTGGTTCACAAACACTGGCCTGCACTTGAAGCCAGGCACTGCACGTATACCCAGTGGTGATAAGGCACGAATCTCTTTAAAACATTCACGTGGTCCCAATTTGCACTTGCACAAATCGCCCATCCGAGTAGCAGCTGTCGAGAAGTATCTCGCCATGCGCTCGAGAGTAGCAGTCTGTGGATCTTCCGCTGGCGTGACCAACGGTAATCCAGTACAGATAATGAAGTCAATCGCCAACTCCGCCCAGGAAACGGACATGGGTGCCATTGGTGTATCATCAGCAGCCCATCGAAGTTGCGAAAAATACCAGACAATCGCAGGAAATAGAGCCTGTTGGTAGTACCAATCTTTGCCTGTCAGTATATCTGGAATTTGTGGTTCGAATTCCCACTCTGGCAGGTTCACCTCGACAGGGTCCCAGGGATAACCAGGAAAGGCCATCTTCGGACTCCAAGTCAAAGGATTGGTAGTCATCTGATCCAAAGCTGGTCGTGCCCACGCGGAGCTTGACGGCGCTGATGTTGCAGGGTCCACAGCCGGTCGTGATGATGAGGCTGGGGTGGTTGTCGGTGGCGTATCTGTAGTACAGGGTGTCGCTGTAGGTCGCGATGTTTTGCTCCTCAGGCGGCGCATTGGTGCTTGTGCAGGTTGGCCTTCACTTTGACAACTGCGAGGGGTGTCCGCAACTGCCGTTGTAGCTGCAGCCGTCGGGCTAGCAGAAGAACCATCCTGTGTCAGGGTCGGTGAGACAGTCGCTGGCGATGCTTCAGTCCTAAGGACCAGGGGCGATGCAGCTCGCTGTTCACCTGCTTCATTCGTACCATCATCGTCCATGCCGAGGTGCGCCCAAGGATCCTCAGCATCCTCGTCTGGCCATTGGGGGTCTGCACCTTCCAGTTCGGCATTTTGCATAGCTTGGGCTTGAGCGCATCGGGCATGATGAGTATCTCTTCCCATAGCCTGAAGTTGCTTTGCACGTGCAGCCAAGATAATCGTGGCTGTGTGCTGAAGAGTGTAACATAGATGCTGATCTCGCAGATGTTGGTGTCTGATGTCCTCTGGCACACTATGTTGGCGTGCAGCTCGGACAGCGCTATCATCTGCTTGTTTGTTAGCCTCCCAGTCAGGTAGATCTTCTGGGGGTACTTCATCTCTTTTGCGATGTGCTTTGATCTTCTCAATGCGGAAACAATCTGATCCTTTCGCAGCAACTCCTGTGGCGATAGCTGTCCACAGGTCACGATGCTGGCGAGGCTTAATAGTCATGCCATTCAGGATAGCAGTAAAATTTCTGACGCAGTATCCGCTGTCGGTAAGGTAGAGCTGCTTGGACCAAGCCCAGGATACAAAGTGTCGAAGGGCACTGACCTCAGCCCTCTGAGCTCCTTGTGAGACGCTCCTCAGCGGGACAGAAACGTTGCAGGGGTGGTTCTCTCCATAGTAGAGACCGTAGCCAGATCTTCGTAGGCGTAAGTCTGACGCCTGCCCAGGGCAGGCACCATCCCCTGCCACTACTAAGTATCCTTCCTTCTCGCGTGTGGTGCTGTGTTCGTCCTGACCTGGCTCGTAGTTCCCATCCGCATGATGAGGGGGAGGTGGAAGATCAGGTTCGTCAGGCAGCAGCTCAGATGCGAAGTTGTCATATACTGGTCTGTCTGGACAGAGGCCACATTGTCGGTAACATACAGGTAGGGCAAGGATCTCATCCTTCGTGTAGTGGTCGAGCAACGGTTGGCGCTGCTGGGTCCACTGAGGGCAATGCAGGAGGATATGATCCATATCTTCGTCAGGGTCTCCACAAAAAGGGCAATATCGATGATCTCGTTGGCCCGTGATGTGGTGAAGCCTGTGACCTGTGACAGTTGCTCCTTGGAGCAAGGCTCGCAGAAAAGGTACTTGTTCTCGTGTCGGCTTCGGCACGGCAACATCCACCGCATCCAGTAGAAGTGGGGGCTGAGGCTTGACACTGTCAGGATTATCTTCTTCGTCATCATCTGGCCGTAGACTGCGTTCAGCCCGCCTGAGGATGGCCGTTGTGATATGATAATTTATGCCGTGCTTGGAGCCGAGCATATCTTTTCTCTCAAGCAACTGAGGATCGGTAGACCACACCCAGCGACGCAGGTCTTCTCGAAGTACATGCTGCCACCAGCCCTCAGGATGCTTTGCCAAGTAGACCAGCTGACCATTGGCACGCTTGAAATAATCAAACTCAGGCCAGGTCCAGCCAAGGTCACTCAGAACTGTAAAAATGCGGCCAATAGGCCCACCATCTGTCGCACTGGTCGAACGAGACTTCATTAGCTCCCAGCATGCCTTAGCTCGGTGTAGGAGGCGCGGTGCGGCTGGGCTTGTGAAGAGTCGCCGTACAACTTGCAGGGGTTGCGCCGTCGATATTTGAATCGGGTCGAGGCAGTGTCCTTTGGTAATCAAGGTGAAAGTGATGGCTGGTGAGCGATACGCACGCCCCTTGTGCCATAGGGACTTCATTACTGAGCTTCTGAAATTCAGATGATTGTGTCTAGGTAATCGTCGAAACTCCAGGCCTGGTGCTAGTCTGGGGAGTGCAGCCGTCGCCAATAGCTGTTGCTTCCCACGAAGTCCCACAGGGGCTCCTCCAGCACGGCGTGATACTCGATATGCAGATTCATAACGTAGTCGGCGTTGTCGCGCAGGACAAGAGCCAAGGGAGACAATCTCTCCGCCTACCAATATGAAATGTCTGGTCATGATAGGTGTGTGTCCAGCCGCCCGCAGGGCGAAGGACAGCTCATTCTCGGCCTTGTGCGTTGTTGCATAATGCTTAGTCTTGCTGAGGTTCGTGACCGTGCCACTGAGGCCGTCGAACTCCAAGGATATACTGGTGGCACGCGTTGTCTTTGCAGCATGACCTGGTCCTTCGGCGCGAAAGTTTCCATCATCAATGAAACTGCTGACTCTGACGGGGCCCTCAGCTTCCAGAGCTTTGGACCAAACCGACATGAGGGCTAGCGCCTGCTGCAAGGACCATGAGTCTCCTTGAACAAATCCATTCTTTCTGGTAGTTGGGGGGCCCACAGCTTGTGCCACCTTCCAATGTGTCGATAGAGCAGCATAAAAACTCTTCTCTGCAGCGAGAACTCCTGCAGGGCAACCTAGAGCTTGCATGAGTCGGTTGCCAATATCATGTTCCAGTAAATCAAAGAACTTCTTCCTGTCTGCAGTACAACCCGATAACGACGTACCCGTGAGTTGACTGTGTTCTATTTCCATATTCAACTCCCATGCGATAGATTGGTAATGGTGTCCAGATCTTGCACCCGCGGCTCCATGATGGAGCCACTCCTCTCTCCAGGGAGACATCTGCTGGAAACGGTCGCCTGTCAAGGCAGTGTAGATTGGCGAAAGGTTGGTGATCGGCCGCGTTTGATCCACCGTGGCCAGCCACACTTCATCTGGTTCACAGGTCGAGGCAAGGTCTGCCTCTGGGTCCCATTTGGGTAAACAGGACGTGATACCCGTGCACATAACATCTGGCCAGGGAAGCCACTGGTCCTCAATACCTTTTAGGGCAACGGCTATCAGCTCGCAGATGGTAAGAGGCAGCAATCGAAGTTCGCCGACTCTCCAGCCATCGGCCGCCACAGCTCGTGTAATTCCCATCTTTCTGAATTGCTTGAGCAGCCTGGAGCCTGTGATGTCAGTGATGGTGCACTGGCAAGATGGGATATAGCGTCCAAAGCGTGCAGAGAACTTATCCCAGTCACAGAGATCAGGTTTATTGAAAATCGTGCTCCAGTAACGGTTGATGTGGTCCAGGATGTCAGTGCGCTTGGTGACTATCTCATTGGATTGATAACCTCGTACCGCATGGAGTGAATGATATTGGCGTTGTTTGATCCAAGAATACATGTCACGACCTCCCTCGTAGCGAAGTGATGTTCGTAGACGTTTGCGCCATTCAGCTATGCGTGTAAGCTTTCTCTCTTTCACAATGACTGCATGCTTCTCATCTAACAAGGACTGCCAAGATGCGATCTCGGCCAGTGTCGGGAGCCTACCTGGTAGATTGTCCAGTCCTGAAAGAAGACGAGGTATGTTTGCACGCAGTTTGCTCCACAGGCGCTGTGCACTAAGTTGGTGTTCTAGTGAAGGTCCCTCTGTGCCCTGGAAGTAGATGTGAATCTTCTTTGAGAGCTCAGTGAGACGGTGGAGTACATTCTCGATCTGCCGCAACTTGGAGGTAGTGGGACCTTCTCGGGCAGGATCTTTTGCCGACGTCGGAGCAACCACAGATTGCTCAACAAGCGCTGGCATCTTGCTTCGTCCACGGTACCGAAAATCAAACTTGATGTTGGTATGCGCAAGACGTTTCTCCAGAAAAGCTTCGCCCATCTGCCCGATGAGAGACCACGCTGTATTTGCATCTTCTTTGTCCAGTGCCTCGTAGAACCGGTCATAATACTCATCCACACATTCTTTGCCCAACGCTTCGTTTTCCTCCTCAGGGATCTTCTTGACTAGCTCAACGGGGTAGGCCACAGGCATACGATACCTTTGCCAGACCTCTGCGAGCTTGGTGATATTCAGCGTGAGCTCCAGACCTAGGTGGCACTTGATCCCCAGGTCCCGTCGCAAGCGAAAAGAGTGGATGGAATCTCGAGCTGACGTACTGACCAAAATAAGATCAGGCCGTGTAACGTGATTGCCTGTCGAGTACTTGTCCCACTTCGGGTCCAGGCCGTAAGTAGGTTCTCCTCCAAACATAGCTCCAACATCGTGCCATCTCCCTGTAGCCAGGGCTGCGGATAGCGTGGATGTTTGTGCAATTGTCGTATTCGAGTCCACGCGCATGACCACAGGCTGGTCGCCCAGGGCCTCGGCGTCCTCGAAGGCAAACTGAAAGTTTCGATCATTGCGTGTACGAATCAATGGGTCATTGCCCGACTCATTATACATTGAAATGATGTGAACAGGAGTGGCCCCCAGCATCACAAGCTGCCGTTGCCAGCGGGCGCTGAGATACAACCCCTTGGCTGCACCATGCTTGCGTCCGCTTTCCATTGCAGTAAAAGTAGTTCTTGACAGAATAGCAACTCCACCCTGGGAGCTGCGATGGAACTTCTCACCATGACATCGTTGTTGGCGAACAGGGTGGCCAAAACAAACATTGTATCCATGTGCAGCACAGGCTTTAGTGCAAGCCATCTGCTCCTTCAAATTGAGGCGTGTCTCCTGCAGCGCAAGGACATCTGCATTCATGAGAGCAAGGCGGCCAGAAAAAGTATTCCAGCTGGTAATATTTGCAGAAAGGATAGTGGCGAGACCTGCAGGACCACAGGAAGGCACTGCAGGAGCTTGTTTCCCTCGCAGACGACGTGAGGGCATCATCACTGATCCATATCCTTTGCAGCACTGTCTTTGAGCCTTTTGCTCAGACGTTCAAGCTCTTCATCCTGTTCCTGCTCAGCACTGGATAAGCCTCCATCTGAGCGGAGAACTTCGAAGCACTTTGCGAGACCCTGCCCCTGAAGCTGTAATTGGGCATAGATCTTCTGATTATTTGCAGTCACCGCCTGTCCAATTGCTTCAAGCAAGAACTTTTGAAATTCAGGGGACATCGCGGAGCCTGGCGTAGATGGCGGTGTGTCTGAGGGTGGTGGAGTTTGCTGCACTGGCTGACCTTGCTGCGGAGCAGGTGCTGGTCGTGTGAGTTGTGCGGCCAAACTTGTCTTCTTGGTTGCCGGTGTCGTCTTGGGCTCAGGTTTGTCATACTTCGTGATCATCTCAGCCCAGGATGTTGCCGATGGAGCTGGTGTAGCACTCTTCTGCTTGACCATGTTGATTGTTGCCTTTACTCCTGCCAGGGTGAGGTCCGAGACCGACGGGGGGCCTTCAGCTCGACAACGTACGACTGGCGTGGCTTTGGCACCTCTTCCCCTGGAGCGTATATGAACAAACTCTGCCTTCCACCCAAGTTGAGTGGATATCTCTTGCACGATCTGCTTTCCCTCAACGAGCTTCGGTAATGGAGAAATCTCGTAGAGGGTCGGTGCTGGTGGGGTTCTTGATTGCAACTTCTGCCAGGCAGGGCCTGACTTCGACTTCTCGACTCTGAAGAACAGTGCACCATTTTGCTTGTAGCCTAACCCGCGGCCGCCCTCTAGGTCCGTGACCATGTTGAGCGCATCCGTCAGGGAGATGGCCTTGGGGAACGGGACAAAGTCTTCTGTATTCTTCTCTTCGTCCAGGGCCGTATTGATAATACCTCCTGCTCGAGATCGCTGGAAGATAACACCATCTGGTCCTGACGCAGCTCGTAGTTGCACAGCTCGTGTGGATGATACTTTGAACAAACCCGATACCACACGATGTCCTGGATGATCTTCATTGAAGACTCTGCCACTCCAGCAGCGCAGATCCATGTCTGCGCCTCCGTTGCATTTTGCCTTCACGATACTTGCCAACTCTGCGTCCAGCACTCTCCACGGTGGGATTGTGTCGAACTTTCTTTTTTGACCTGATGTCTCTGCCCGCTGATCACGGGCTGCCGTTGCTTGACGGTGTAACTTCAGGAGCTCTTTGAAGATCTTCTCGGGAGCATGCTCTTCGAGGATCGCCACGTTCATGAGCTCGTCCTGTGTACATGTTATTGCGGTCGGCACTCTGGTCGGTTCCACTTTCTGTTGAGTCGATCCTCCATATTGCCAAACGTACAACTGCTTGATGTAGCGTCTCTCTTCGTAAATGAGTGGCACATCTAAAAGAGTGATGCATGGAGCCAGACCCCTCTGGCCGCACAGCATGAACAATTCTTTTGAGACCTGACTGGGCGATTGTGCCAAGACGAATCCAAATGCCTCCACAGGGTCTGGTCTTTCCCAAAATGAATCTAAACGTGCGAGCTCCAGGAACTCTGCCGTTGTGACAAGATGTACAGCTTTCATACTCTCATAGTCTTGCGGAAGGCCACGCTTCACGGGTATGTCCCAGTCAGCTGGGTCAAGGCGTGCATGGTGCTGCCAGCCTGTCTTCGGCTTCGGGGGCGTGGCCTTCGGCTTCTTGGGCGGCTGCGGCTTGGCTGGAGGGGTGGCTCCATAGGGCTTTTCTTCCAACCATACCTTCATCGCTTCAGCTATCTCCTTGGCGGGCATGGCAGCGATCTTGGCCATACGCTCCGTGGAGAACTTCTTCAAATGATCATACATCTTTTGTGGTTTGTCCGTACCTGCTGCTTCCAACATAGTGAGGACACGACTTTTGTTCATCTGTGGCGTGTGCTTTGCCTTGAATGCCCTGGCTAGTGCTTGCTTCATCGATGGTCCGTTGCCATGTAAAGCGTGCATCTCTTTATTGTGGTCTCGGTGACGCCGAGCCCATTCATATGGAAAGAAACTCGTTATGCATACCCACGTATGATACCCATCTAGATATAACCCACCATACAATACCCAAGTATTGTCGGCATATTCCCATGACATACAGATGTTGAGCCCCTGCATCTGCGTGAAACTGAATCCAAAATTGTCGTTCTTCGCGTCCGTGTCATTGGACGTCACCACAACCGAGAACTGTATGTGCACCCAGTTCAGAAGGTTGAACAGTGTCACCTGCTCGTGGGACACCTTGTGGCTGAACTCCCCCTCTTCTTTCTCCTCCTCCTCCTCCTTCTCCTCCTCCTCCTCCTCCTCCTCCTCCTCCTTCTCCTCCTCCTCCTCCCCCTCCCCCTCTCTTCTCCCATGCAACCTCTCTCTCCACCTCTCTCTTACACCACATGTCAGCTGCATCCCCCCCAGGCCTCAAATTCGCTTTTGAGCTCTGTCGTCCTCCGAGCCCGAACCTCCCCGATCGTCACAGCACGATCCTCGCTGACGCTCTCGAGCTCGATGATGCCTGCTACTCGCGAGTGCGAGGCCCTCGGGAGCAAACCCAGAGCAGCCGAGGAGGAGGAGGAGGAAGAGGAGGAGGAGGAGGGGGAGGAGGAGGAGGAGGGGGAGGGGGAGGAGGAGGAGGAGGAGGAGGAGGGGGAGGAGGAGGAGGAGGAGGAGGAGGAGGAGGAGGAGGGGGAGGAGGAGGAGGAGGAGGAGGAGGAGGAGGAGGAGGAGGAGGTGGAGGCGGAGGAGGAGGAGGAGGGGGCCCCGAGGCAGCGCTGGGGGAGGGTCCAGGCGCAGGTGGCACGCCGGGCCGACCCGTCGTGCAGGGTACCCTTGGGGTCAATGACGAAGGCGTCGAACGCGTCGACCAGCTGACGCACCCCGTCCGCCATCTGCGACTCCCCGACGTCCAGCTCGAACTTCGCCTTCGGGATACGTGCGCGACGACGACGACGACGACGACGACGACGACGACGGCGGGAAGCGCGGTAACTAAGCTGACCGCGCTGGAAGGGCTCCTCAAGCACGCCGTCGGTGCAGCCCCCCCCAGATCCCCTTTTGACGTCCCTGGGGCCCGATATCGGGCCCCAGAGAAACAACGCCGGGATTGAAACCGGATCTCGTCGAAGATCTGGGCTTCCGGGCCAAAGCTCGGGTTGTCGGCAGCCGCTCGGGCGATCCAGGCAATCCCAGAATGCTCTCGGCGAGGAGCAGCGGCCAGAACACATCCCGATGCCCTCGCGATCCCGAAGCGTACCCAGCGTGCCGTGCCGCGCGCCAGCGGTTTGGACTTGCCCGGCGGGGACCCGCATCCCCAGGCGGATGGATTGCCACCTGCCGAGCGGCCTGCCTGTGCTACAGTCATCGTGATATTAGGAGGGGGGGAGAGGGGGGGAGGAGGGGGGAGGAGGGGGAGGACGAGGAGGAGGAGGAGGAGGAGGAGGAGAAGGGGAGCAGGAGGAGGAGGGGGAGGGGGAGGAGGAGGAGGAGGAGGAGGAGAGGAGGAGGAGGAGGAGGAGGAGGAGGAGGAGGAGGAGGAGGAGGAGGAGGAGGGGGAGGAGGAGGAGGAGGAGGAGCGAAGGGGCGTCTCTGGCCACGACGAGCTTCGGCCACGACAAAGGGGTTCCCCGACCCAGGTCCCACGGACCGCTCTTCGGGCCGGGGCCCCTCCCGAGCCCCTCCTCGACGTCTTGGCTGCCCCAGAAGCGCCCCAGGCGCTCCTCCTGGCCACGCCTTTGACGTCCCTGCGGGGCCCTGCAAAACCCCCCTCAGCCCCGAGGTGCCTCCTGAGAGGCTGGGAGGGAAGGGGCTGGGCGCCCGCGCACTCAAGGGCAGAGCCGGCTCCCGCGAGCTCGGCTCAGGGGTCTGGCGCGGGCTCTTCCCGCTTCCCCGGCTCGAGTTATGTTGCTCCCATCGTACTTGAGGGACACATCCCAGAAATGATGTCGAGCACCCAGAAAAGTGTCGAAACGGTGTCGAACGAGTATCGCCTCCCAGGGCCCGACGCGTGAAACACCCTCAGGTTTCGGTACTCGCTTAGTGCTCGAAATTATTTCTGGTGGTCACGGCTAACGTAGGTCGAAACATCATAAGGCTCGAGGGAGTGGGGTCTGCCCGAGCTCGGGCCCGTGGTTTGGCAAGGGCTCTTACCCAGGGGAACGAACACGGACAGGAACGAACACGGACATAAGCAGAACAACTCGGGGGTCCAGCGCTGATCCGAGCACTCCGCGCGGACCTCCGAGTTCTTATCTTTACGTCATTGTCCGTTCCCCTAGAGGAGGAGGGGGAGAGGGGAGGGGGACAAGCTAGGTGCACTCGCGTCATATCTGACGACCTACCCCTCCCTCCCATCCCTTACCATGGCGCTGATTTTCTCTATCCGCGGACGCGTGTCGTAGCGGACCTGTGGCTCCGCGCGCGCGTGCGTAGTGGGTGGTGGTGCACGTGCGTGCGTGCGTGCGTGTGTGCGTGGTTGTCGTGGTGGTGGTGGTGGTGGTGGTGGTGGTGGTGGTGGTGGTGGTGGTGGTGGTGGTGGTGATGGTGGTGGTGGTGGTGGTGGTGGTGGTGGTGGTGCTGGTGGTTGGTGCTGGTGCTGGTGGTGGTGGTGGTGGTGTGGGTGGTGGTGCTGGTGGTGGTGGTGGGTGGGTGGTGGTGGTGGTGGTGGTGGTGGTGGTGGTGGTGGTGGTGGTGGTGGGTGGTGGTGGTGGTGGTGGTGGTGGTGGTGGTGGTGGTGGTGGTGGCGGTGCGGCGCGGTGGTGGCGGGCGGATGGGCGCGCGAGAAAAAGGCCCGCGCTGGGGCGAGAACGCCATCCTGAACGACGGAGGCCAAACACCGATCCGAAAATGAGGCCCACGCTGCAGCGGGAGCACGATTCGGAACGATTCGGGAGCAGAAATGAGGCCGGCGCCTCAACGAGAGCAGCATTTTGGGAAAAAATGACGCCGGCGCCTCAGCGAGAGTCGTTTCCCGGGATTTCCCGGGCATCCTGTGTGTAAAAAACAGTACGCGGAGGGTGCGCGGCCATCACCCGGACGCCATCAGGGGAAGGATTCGGGAGCAGAAATGAGGCCGGCGCCTCAACGAGAGCAGCATTTTGGGAAAAAATGACGCCGGCGCGAGAGCAGCATTTTGAGAAAAAATGACGCCGGCGCCTCAGCGAGAGTCGTTTCCCGGGATTTCCCGGGCATCCTGTGTAAAAAACAATACGCGGAGGGTGCGCGGCCATCACCAGGACGCCATCAGGGGAAGAGGGAGAGTATATTCATATTGAGTAATTGTGGAGGATGAGGAGGATGAGGAGGAGGAGGAGGGGGAAGAGGAGGAGGACGACGAGGAGGAGGAGGACGAGGAGGAGGAGGAGGAGGAGGAGGAGGAAGAGGAGGAGAAGGAGGAGGACGACGAGGAGGAGGACGAGGAGAAGGAGGAGGAGGAGGAGGAGGAGGAGGAGGAGGAGGAGGAGGAGGAGGACTCCCGCTTCCCCCGCTCGAGGGCGTGCAGCCTGCGCGGCCTCGCGAGCGGAGCGGTGCTGCTCCTGCTCTTGGACGGTCGCCGCCGCGCCGCCCGCGGGGCGAACGGGTGGCACGCGCGTCCTGGCCCTGGCCCTTGCACCAGGCAGCTTTTCCCCAATCAGTGCTTGCACTGAAGGGGTCCTAGCAGAAGTTGAAAGATTTGGCGAACACTCCGGCCGATGCTGGTAGCGGGCTGGGTTCCCGGGTTCCCGGCACCGGGTTCCCAGGTTTCCGGTTATTGGCATTGGTTCCGGGCCGATTTCGGTGGATGGGTTCCCGGGCTCCCGGGTAACCCGGCCGACCCCCCCAGCGACAACTATCCACTGATTGGGGTTTCCTGTGGTGTAATCTTGTTTTTGTTTTTGTTGTTGCCTCGCACGGCACGCGCCCTCCATATACGCGCGATGCCTTCCGCCAGAACGGCCCTCCCAGTTTTGGCTCTAGCGCGCCTGGTACGAGGCAGCCGGCCAGGGCCCCAAAACATTCGGCGCCTCGATGTTTTCGAGACGCGGGCCCCGACCTCTCTCGACCACTTCCCCGGGACCGGTTCTTCATCCCGAGTCGTTTTGTTGACGGTCCCGAAGCCCAGCGAGGGCCCCGCGAGGCCGACAACGACAAAAAACCTCCGTCCCGATTTTTTCGGAAAACGACAAAAAACTCCGTCTCGATTTCTTTCGTCTCGATTTCTTTCGGAAAGCGACCAAAAAACTCCGTCTCGATTTTTTCGGGACGCCCGAGGTCTTGGCCACCGGGAGCGGGGAGCGGGCAGGGAAAAAGGCCAGGGGGGGACCTCGCGGAGCCATGCCCCGGGGGACCCTTCCCCCGTGGGGGGCCGCCCGGGGGCAGGCAGGGGCGCAGAGGCGGAGGAAGGGCGCGCGTTGCTTATCAGAGTGAGGGGGCCGAACGGTCATTCACTGTCCCTGGGTGCGTGGCTGAAGTGGAATTCCGCGGTGCGGGTTCTCGTTGTTGTTGTTTGTTGTTGTTGTTGCTGTTGCTGTTGCTGATGTTGTTGTTGTTGTGGTTGTTGTTCTTGTTGTTGTTGTTGTTGTTGTTGTTGTTGTTGTTGTTGTTGTTTGTTGTTGTTTGTTGTCGTCGTCCCACCCGCAACCCGCCCCGCAACCCCCCCGCGGCCCACCCCGCGGCCCACCCGCGACCCACCCGCGACCCACCCGCGACCCACCCGCGACCCACCCGCGACCCACCCCGCGACCCACCCCGCGACCCACCCCGCGACCCACCCCGCGACCCACCCCGCGACCCACCCCGCGACCCACCCGCGGCCCACCCCACGACACACCCGCGACCCACCCGCGACCTACCCCGCGACCCACCCGCGACCCAAACCACGTTCAAGGTACAAACCACCATTTTCGGCGCCTGCGGTGGGCTTTTGCTGCATTCCCTCCAGATGGAGAGCCCGCGACCCACCCCGTGACGAACTCGCGACCAACCCGCGACCCAAACCACGTTCAGGGTACAAACCACATTTTTCGGCGCCTGCGGCGGGTATCTGTTGCATTCGCTTCAGGTGGAGAGCCCGCGGCCCACCCGCGACCACGTTCAGGGCACAAGCCACATTTTTCGGCGCCTGCGGCGGGCATCTTTTGCATTCGTCCCCGGTGGAGAACCCGCGGCCCACCCGCGACCCAAACCACGTTCAGTGTACAAGCCAATTTTTTGTGGCGCCTGCGGCGGGCTGCTTTTGCATTCCTTCCAGGTGGAGGTGGAGAGCCCGCGACCCACCCGCGACCTAAACCACGTTCACTGAACAAACCAGTGCCGCACAAGCGCGGCGGCGGATTTTTGCATGCCGTCTGAGCCCGCAAGGACCTCTTCAAGCCTCGCGCATCCACACCAGCCCGTCCAGCAACTCTGCCCTGGCGAGTTGCCTTGATCAAAGAAGGCGGGGAACATAAAGTGGAAAAAAAGATTGCGGTTCAGTCATCTTGGGGAAGGAGGGGGAGGCAGGACGAGTAAACAGGGGACGAGGAGAACGCGGAAGAAGAGAGGATGTAAGGATAATGTGGAGAAAGAAAAGGAGGAGGAGCAGGAGGACGAGGAGGGGGAGGAGGGGGAGGAGGGGGAGGAGGAGGACGAGGAGGGGGAGGAGGGGGAGGATGATGATGATGGACGACAATTGGAGGACGATGATGGAGGCCGATGAGGGGGAGGACGACAATGGGAGGACGATGATGAAAGGACGAGGGGGGGAGAGGGAGGACGAGGAAGAAGAGGAGGAGGACGAGGTGGAGGAGGAGGATGACGATGACGATGAGGACGAGGACGAGGAAGAGGAGGAGGAGGAGGATGAGGAGGATGAGGAGGAGGAGGAGGAGAGCGCCATCGACAAGGAAGGTGGGGGCCACGAGGTCCGCCGGCTCGACGACGCCCGCGTCGTCCGCGCCCGCCCCCT